TTCTGACTCCACTTCGGGTTCTTGCCATGTCGATCTATACACCAAAGTAAGTGCATTTAGATCTTTATTTACGATAGACGTTTAAATTTCCCCTTATCACTTCGAAAAGTTACATGTCAGTTCTAATACCGTAATTAAACGTTTAGAAATCTGAACACATAAAATTTCCAGATTCGGTCGGCAACAAACCATAGATCCGATCAAATAATAGCATATAAGGCATCTCTATAGCTATAACATAAAGCATTTAGCATGTAAAAGCATTTTAGACATCTTTCCTAAAATGAGCTAGTGCTCGTGTCTATTTAGGTGTACTACCTAGAATACAATAGACACACTCCTCACGATCATCACTTAGCATTCTAAGTTTAAGTCTAGAAATTTTACTAAAATTCCTAGTTCGCTTAAACTAATGCTCTGATACCAACTGTGACATCCTCATTTTTACGGCCAGAAAAGACCGATTTGTCCATGCTTCATTTTTAAAATCAGAGTATACTTGTATAGAAAAGTGTTGCGGAATTTTGTTTCCAGAAAACATGATAAGTATGTTATCAAAACATTTTCCGAAGAAAATGTATTTTATTCATTTTAAAACTTTGGGATGTCAACGTCAATACAGAAAAATAAGCATAAACAGAACTTACATTTATTTACACTAGTAATCTACATCTCTTTAATCTCTCAGTGTAGTGTAGCTTTATATCGACACCTGTGATACAAATAAACTGAGTGGGTCAGGTTGGGAAACCTGGTGAGTACATAGGGATTTCAATCCCACAATGTTATATCATATATATATTTTAGAACTCACAAAATATACAACTTCACCATATATAAGAAACTTTACCCCACCCCGTCGATCCTCACAACGAGACGATCCATACTCTAAAATTAACCTCTTTACCTAATCCATACTCCCAGATCCAAAATTTACCTCTTTACCTAATCCGTACTCCTGGATCTAAAAGTTACCATTTTACATAATCCATACTCCCGGATCTAAAAGTTGCCTCTTTACCTAATCCATGCTTCCGGATCTAAAAGTTCCCTCTTTACCTAATCCATGCTCCCGGATCTAAAAGTTCCCTCTTTGCCTAATCCATACTCCCAGATTGGATATGTCTGATACATACTCCCGGATCTAAAATTTACCTTCTTACCTAATCCATACTCCCAGATCAGGTATGTCTGATCCTTACTCCCGGATCTAAAATTTACTTCTTTACCTAATCCATACTCCCGGATCGGGTATGTCTGATCCTTACTCCCAGATCTAAAAGCAAGTAACTATGTCCTAATCATACTCTCGGACTAAGGACAACTGACTAAGTCTAATCCATACTCTCAGATAGATGACAAGTTTTAAAGTTATTCCCTCCGTGTATATCTCATTTGTACTCACAAGGATATATTCCCCAATATCCCTCTTAATTTATTTAGGTCTACTCTATATCCTAAATCATCATATATTTACCAGATATGCTCTTAACACGTATTTCAGGCAGTATCAAAACCAACTATTGCATCTACCCATGTTCTACCCAACATATTCGTAGATATAAAATACATATACAGTTCAGATCTGAAGAATAAGTTTAGATCTGAAAAGAAATTACATATACGGTTCAGATCTGAAGAAAAAGGTCTAGATCTGAAAAACAAAATACATATACAGCCTAGATCAAGAAAAAAGTTCAGATCTGAAAACAAAATACATCTACAGTCTAGATCTGAAAAAAAAGGTTCAGATCTGAAAACAAAATACATCTACAGTTTAGATCTGAAAAACAAAGAAGTTTAAATCTTTCATCTAGCACAGATCTCAAGTAAACAGATAACACATAAACTCTTTAACAAATATTTAACTCTTTAACAGATATTAATACTTGTACTAAAATCATGTTCATGAAAGGGACTATGCACTCACTTGATAAGGAGTGATTCGGACATCACTTCGCTTCTTAAAACAATCTTTTTTGACGAAACCGGGAAGTTTGCTTGAAAACCAGGCTCTGCGCGGGCAGAGTTTCAAACCGAAAAACTCTTTTTCTCGAAGCCTTCGGGCTCTCTGGAGCTTTCTTCTAGTTCTAGGGGGTTTTCCTAGGCTTTAGGGGGGGTTTTAGGGGCTAGAGAGAGAAAGTAGTTAGAGAAAGTAGGAGTGAATTGGTGAGAAAAAGTGGCAGCCCTCGGTCCCCTTTTATAGGCTGAGAAGCCTCGCTACGCTGGGCGTTCCTGCGAGGGTACGCGAGGCGTACCTCGTATGCAGGGCGTTCTTGGTCTACGTTGCGCGTTCGTACAGCCACGCGTCCGAAGTCTGTTGGGGCTACGTGGTCACCTCTGGAGCCAAGTCCTCGCGTACGCGGGGCGTTCCCTCTCTTACGCGGGGCGTACCCTTCGGACCAGACTCGCAATTTACACACTCGACTTCTAAAATTCGAAACTTTCGCATACGAGCTCCGTTTTCGACCTTCTTTATATCCACGCGTAGGCGCGACCGTACTCTACGACTTTTGTTTAGACTTTGTCGGCTAATTCTCGACCGATGTTGAATTTATATTCTTTAACAGACCGGGACAATAAAGTCTGTTAAAATTTCGTAACTTCTTCATCCGACGTCCGTTTTTGTCTGTCTTTTTACCGTTGCGCTACTATTAACGAGATCTTCGATTCTCGTTTAGGTTGTGTCGGCCAAAAATCAACCGATCTATTATTCGAACTTCGGGTTGTGCACTGCTGATCCGAAACTTAGAAAAATCATAATTCTCCATACGAAGTCAGATTTGGGCGTTCTTTTTATGCTCGCTCTCGGTTTAACAAATACTACGACTTTCGTGTAGATCACCAAGGCTAAAAAGTCCTCTATCGTAAATTCACTATTTACGTCACGCAGTGTCGTGCCGGTTCTGTCGCGAAACTTCGACAGGCTAACTTCTTCGTTACAACTCGGATTTCGGCGTTCTTTATATGTACGGAACCCTTGTGACATATACTACAACTTATTTAAGATTATTTATTCTAAATAACCTTCTATCAAAAGTCATTTTCGGTGCTTATTGTGTCTTAACTGACTAGCTCGGATCTGCGGGCGTTACAAAGCACTACTGATGATGTTAGTTCTATTAGTTAGATGAAACCACTTCCCCGATGTCACCACCATGACTATACCACTTCTATGAGGCCACTAGCAATATTTGACCTCTTCATTGTCCATTAGGACCCATGACCATTAGTCGGACATGAAAACCTTCTGTCTCCATCCTATGATGAAGAAGATAGGTGGAGCACACTTTCTTTCCTTCAAGATTATTAAACCACCTATGTTTTACGATGATAATATAAGCACCTTATGAGAAATAAAACACAAGGAATAGGTGCAAAGTGAAAAGGTGACAAAACATGAAAAAAAAATCTAAAAACAATGATTAAGTATATTAGTTTTTGTTTGTAAACCTATAGTAGTGTGTTGTCAAGTTACTCGATAAGGCTTGAGGGAGTGGGGATCTCCAACCGATTGGTTCTTGGCTATTGTTTTCGTTTTTATTTTTTTTTTCCCTCAAAAAATATTCCTATTAAATTAACACGTTACCACTCTCTACCTTTTTTGTACTACACATGGTAAGCTTACGTAACTTTTAAGAAACTAAAAAAACAACGTGCTAAAAGTACTACATGAATTGTCAATGGATAATGCTAAGCAAGTACATAAGTGCTATAACTATACCTAAAACCATAATAATTATTCCATTTATGATACACCTATGATATTTTGAAGAACTCTAAACAACTCTTCGTTAATCAGATCTAAAGTATTTTTTAAACATAATCCCTTATTCGGCTTTCTTTAACACTCCATACAAAAAAGAACTGAATTAATATAGTTATTAGTTTAGTTATTGATTGGTAATCTCACTTGCAAAGGTAAGCTTGTAAAACGTCTTTAACATCTTGTAGATCCAAGTACCATTACTTATTAATCTCTTATCTCTTAAGTAACTAACAAACAAAGGTTTTTTTTTTGGCTTAACAAGCCTTCAAGCAAAATATATTTTTAATTATAAAATAAAAATGCTATATTATTAAAAAGAAAGATCTACTTGGATGAAAAAGCCAAAAGAATATTTTCACTAGGGATGAGCATTAGAACCGTCGGAACCGGAACCGGACAGGAACCGAATCGGAACCGGAACCGGAATTGGTAATAGGTCCGGTTACCGGTTCTCCATTTTTATGAAAACCGGTCCCGGTTCTAAAAACCGGAACCGGTTTGACATTTTTTTCATTTTTTAAAATGCGCATAACTCGCTCATATGAAATCGAAATTATTTGATTTTTTTTTCCAACATGTAATTTGGAGTTTGTAATTCATTTTTGACGCTACAAACATATGTTTTGGTTAGATATTGAATCAGACACATGCTCCAAAAGAAAGCATATCGATGTTGCGTTTTTTTTTATTTCAGCATTATTTTTTTGTTTTTTTGAATATGTCCCATTTTTTAAATGTGTATAACTCATTCATATGACGTCGGAATTACTTAATTTTTTTTCCAGCATGTAATTTGGTGTTTGTAGTTCATTTTAGACTATAAAAACACATATTTTGGTTAGATATTGAATCAGTTATAGACTCCGGAAGACAACATATCAATGCTGCGTTTTTTCTGTTTCAACATTTTTTATTTTTTTGGAATTTGTCCGCGCTTTTAAAATGCGCATAACTCACTTATATGAAGTCAGAATTACTTGATTCTTTTTTCATTATGTAATTTAGTGTTTGTACTTCAATTTAGAATGTAAAAAGTCATAATTTTGTTAAATATTGAATCATTTACAAGCTCCAGAAGATAGCATATAATCTATAGTATTTCAACCGGTTCTACTTTGAAAAATAACCGAAAAACCGAGACCGGAACCGACGCTAGAACCGGTGGTCCGGTTCCCGGTTCTTATAATATAGAAAAACCCGTCCGGTTCCAAATGCTCATCCCTAATTTTCACCCACCCAAGAAAAAATAGAGAATTCAAAAGGCATTTTTCCAACGAAATTGATGCTAGACGAAGAAGTATGTTCCCTCCATCACCACACCCCTTTCATCTCTTCTTCTTCTTCACCCACACTTCAGCTCTTACCTTCTTCCACCGCCGTTAATTGCATACATTCAGATCTCCGGATATCTTCTTCTTCACTTCCTTTAGCTACTTGCCTCTTTATGAAGAGTTGAAGACACGCACATACATAAACCGAGTTTTAGCTTCCAATATTAATCGAACCGATTCAGGTTCTGGAACCTCAGACTGACTCAATTAAACATGACAAAAGGTAATTTGTTTGATTCATTTCATGCGTTGTATGATGACATTTGTATTTTAATTTTGAATCCGTGTTTTTTTAACATCATTTTAATTTGAAGTAATTGAACTGAAACTGATTTGTTAGATGTTGTTGGTGGAGAAGGAGAACCTGGATTCAGAAAACCTAGTAGTGTTTCGGCTTATGATGAAGCGATGGATGCTTTGTCCTCTCTCATCACCAAAAAGAATCGTGCTGATAAGATCGTCGTCGACCATAGATATGAGCTGATGTTTGAGTATGTTAAGGTAGCATTAACAACTTTGATTTTATATTGCAATTTGAGTTTTGAATTATAGTATCAAACCAGGTACCTTTACTAAATTGAAAATCCGAGTAGATTCTGTCATGAATAGTTTTTATATTGATGTTATAGGTGTAAAATTCAGCTTAATAGTACTTACTTGTGTAAAGTTCATCATGCTCTACATCATATCTTGTAACTCAATATGATTATTCTTTATTAGGGTGTGAGTGATAACAAAACCTATGATGATTTATGGTTCCCCCAACTCACTAGTCACTATTCTTGTAGATTTTGGAATTAGAGGAACCAATTTCCCAGATGAAGATCATCCATGTTGCAGGCACAAAAGGAAAGGTAAAGATGTTGGTTATTAGCTTAGATCATCACCACCTAATGTAGGAGTTTTGTATTTATATCCAAATTTGGATTGTTTACAGGGATCAACATGCGTGTTCACAGAAGCTATATTACGCAATTGTGGCTTTCACACTGGACTCTTCACATCTCCTCACCTCATTGATGTTAGAGAAAGATTTCAATTGGATGGGTGAGTTTTCAAGCATTATAACTCTAATTTGCTCAAGTTTTAACTGTAGAAGGTTGTTTAATTTCCCCAATTTTGATCTGTTTCAGTGAGGACATAAGCAAAGAGAAGTTTTTGGCATACTTTTGGTGGTGTTGGGATAGACTGAAGGCATGATTTCTGATCTGTATACTATATGAATGTAATTCACCCATAACCACATCAAGATAAAATATATATTATAATAAATTCTTACTTTTTTGTGTTTCCATATACAGAAGAAATGCGGTGATGATATTCCAATGCCAACTTTATTCCGCTTCCTTGCTTTACTTGCTTTCAAAATATTTGCAGCAGAGCAAGTAGATGTTGCTGTTATGGAGGTGGGATTAGGTGGAAAGACTGATGCAACCAACGTGGTATGCAAATATATATATATATATATATATATATATATATATATATATATATATATATATATATATACACGCTTATCATATGTCCTCTCTTACATAGTAGTTACACAATAGTTACATGCAAGAAATCAATCTAATATGAAGAACATTTTTTTCAGGTTCAGACACCTATAGTATGTGGAATCACACCACTAGGGTATGACCATACCGAAGTTCTTGGTTAGTGTTTGGATATTTTTAATCTTATTTTATTTATTTATGTTCCCTGTTCAAATTCAATATAGGGTGTTACAAATCTTGAACCATTTGAAATGTATTTCAATATTGATGAGCAGGAAATACTCTTGGAGAAATTGCGGGTGAGAAAGCTGGTATCTTTAAGGTGCTTCTTCACATCACAATTCACATGCCCTTCTACAAATGTGATTTTGATAGATCAAAACACATGTCATTTGTACTTTTTTTTTTTTTTTTTGCAGAAAGGTGTTCCAGCATTTACTGTTTCACAACCAGAAGAAGCCATGCAAGTACTTAAAGAAAAAGCCTCCCGGTTAGATGTAAGTTACAATTCTCTAACATTTTAACTCCTAGAAAATCACAAAATATTCATATTACACTTTAATTTAAATTATACTGTGACAGGTGAATCTTGAAGTGGCAAACATGTTGGATAGTAAATTGCTAAATGGATTACATTTAGGGCTTGCAGGGGATCACCAATATATAAATGCAGGGCTTGCCATCATGTTAAGCTCCACATGGCTCCAAAGGACAGGTCATTTGGAAGTTGAGACTGTAAGTTTTTGTTAAAAGTGAAACATTTGTCGCCATATATTTATTAAATCATTAAAAAAGAATTCCCATTTTTTTTTTTTTGGTGGTTGGATACAGAGTTATTTGTCTGAGAGATTCATCAAGGGGCTAGCAAGTGCAAATTTACAAGGAAGGGCTCAGATAATTCATGACAAGGTATGTGAAGGTGATGTGGTGTTTTATTTGGATGGAGCACATAGTCCTGAAAGCATGGAAGTCTGTGCAAATTGGTTTTCCATAGCAAGGTGGTGATAACTCCAGGAAAGACTCTGCACAGGTTAGAGTTTAGTATTTGTCTAAAACTTTGTATGAATATTTAAAACTGTGTAATATGAGTTTTGTAATTTTGTATTTGCAGATATTATTGTTCAATTGTATGTCGGTGAGGGACCCACAGTTGCTGTTTCCGCGGTTGGTGGACACATGTGGTGGTCATGGTAAGTAAGTAAGTAAGTATTATGAATTATGCATTTTATAATAATAGTATTTGGTTACATGAACATATGATATAGAGTTATGATATTAATATTTCAGGTGTAAAGTTTAAAAAGGCGATATTTGTGCCAAATATGTCGGTTTACAACAAAGTTGGATCCAGTTCATCGTCTTTGCCACAAACTGATTTACAACAAGTTGATAATTCATGGCAGCTGACACTTGGAAGAGTATGGGAGAACACTGTATGCAGTGAAGGTGAAACAGGTACATTACATAAAATTAAATAATTAATATCCTATTATAATAGACAGAGACAGAGTTGAGAATGATTTTGTTTTATTTTATAATAATTATCAGGAACTTGTGAAAGTAAAAACAGTATGGTGTTTTCATCACTTCCATTGGCCATAAAATGGTTGAGAGACACTGCCAAACAAAATACGTCTGTTCAGCTGCAGGTATATTCATCACCTTCCTTTTACTAATTAATAATAATCATCTGCTTTTGCTTCATGTATTATATTTATTTTTGGAAAATATTATTAGGTCCTGGTTACTGGTTCGTTGCATTTGGTGGGTGATGTTATGAAATTAGTGAACAAATAACTCAACAAACTCAAAATTTTTACAAGTTACAACAACAAAGATGGATTTAACATTTATTGTAGTTTATGTTTCATTGTATTTGTTTCAAAAAACTATCTGATGTTTATTAGTGGTATTGTATTTGTTTATGATACTTAGCTTGGTTTTTTGTAAAATATTACCATTGATTACTATTATTTTTATTATAGCTACTATTACTATTCGTAATATTAAAAATTCACCATAGAATAAATGAAAAAGCTTTGTATTGATCTTTGCAAATTTACAAAAGATGTGAAGGTCATAAAATGAAAAACTTTCAGAATTTTTTACTTCACATGGCTTACTTGATCGAATAAATTTTCTTAAAATAGCTATTTGTTGTGGATGCCTTGAGGGGGATGTTGACGTATTATTATTGGCCACCTGATATAAATTATTATTTATTATTATTAAATAAACTTTTAAAAAACTAAAATAAAATCATTAATGAATTATTAAATTTAAAACATGGTTAACTAAAAAGTAAACTATGATTGAAAATATACAAACAAGTCAAAACTACTATAAAGAACTAATTTTACTAAAAAGTAAGTAAATTAAATTTGAAAACTAAATATAATTTGAGTAAGAATTGCAACATCAAATGCAAGGAGTAGAAAACATTCCAAAATTACCTAGAAGTAACAATAAACAACATGAATCATTCTCTTCATCAACTTTAGATAGATAAATCAGAGTTTCCATCACATCCTCTATACATAACAACATGTTCTACCACTTCACTCTGCTCATAAAAGTCAAAACGTTGACTTTTTCCATTTTCCTTCCTTCTTTCCCAAGACCAAAATCATGACCCACCCACAGCCCACAACTAGAAACTTCAGTACAACACAACCAAAAGACTTTCAATTTTTCAAACCATATACTTGATTTCTCATTGCAAAATCACACAACTTGTTCATCATAAGAACAGTGGTAATTGCAATGAAAAGTCAAATATAACGGTTCAAAAAGTCAACTCAACTTATAAACACACCCACACATGAGTAAATTGTTAATTAATGCTCACAAAAGCTGCCGAAGTTCCTGATTCTCTTTACGCAACAATTGTATTTCCTTCATAAGCTCTGCCTGATTTTCCAAAATCGCCCTCATTGCATTCGACATTTGCATCTACAAAAAATAAAAAACACACAATGAGTGAAAAAAGCAACATATTATATAGAAGATAAAAAAACATCCACAAACACAAACCTCTTGCATATGAAATTGTCTTAGAACTTCAATATGAAGATTTCTAACATCTTCATGAATGGATTTCTGAAAAGAACCAAGAGCTTCATCAAGAGTCCCTTGAAACAGTTGCAGAGAAAACGAAGATCCCTGTTGTGAACTATTTGTTTTCTGTGCTTGTGTATCCGATGCACCCTGTCTCACAAAACCAACAAACCACAATTTACAAAAATACCCTCGAAAAAAAAAACAAAAAACTTAATTTAATCCACTCACATTCATGGATTCCATGGCAGCCGATGACATGTCATGCCTAGGTGTCAAACTATTCAAAAGCTCTTCTCTCGTTTCACCTCCTGTTTTCTTCATCATTTTCGGGGACCCCGCACCCACAGCTGTTGAAGTCCCATCACTAAAAGATGGATTGGTGCTTATCCTCTCAGCATAACTTGAAAATCTTCGTGTTGGAGTTGAAGATTCTAAGCTCCCTTTTATGCCAACTGAAAGAGATGCTAAAGGGCTATCTTGATTAGATGTTGATGAGCTGTCATACACACGAAGATTAGCTAACGGTGGCAACCCTGAACTAAGATCCTCAAGTCCAGTCAGCATAGATCCTGTGGAGGATGATGTCATCGCTGCAAATCGTGAAGGTAGCGACACTTGCTGACGTGGCGGACGGATGAATTTATCGGATAATCTCTCTCCACCCCATGCTTCTGGAGGTGTTATGGATGATGGTTCTTCACTTTTTGGAGAAGAAGATGGTGGCTGAGAGATTGGAGTCTGGTTATCATCCTGTGTAAATTTTGTAATTTTGTAATTTTATTTTTGTTTTAAAAAATGTTACATATTGTTTACATTAATTACCTGTGCTAAAGTGGAGCTAGGTTTCCAGTCAAAAATGGAGTGAGGATCACTGCCTACATCAGAAGATGAAACAAATCTTTTTGATGAAGGAAACAAAAGAGAAGTCTTTTTATCAAAATCTTTTTTAGTTCCTTCCCATAACTTATCAAAAGAGGGAGTAATTGGTTGAACTTCCACAAGTGGAGAAAAAACCTCCATGTCATCTTTGTAATTATAACTTCTTGGAGCATGTAATCTTGCTAATCCACCAACCCTTAATGTGCTTCTCAGTGGCGTTTCTTCACTTGTAGATGATTCAGACATTGATGGGGTAACTAACTCTGGAGAGGGTCCGGATCCTGCCCGGGTAATTCGGGCAGCAGAGATTAAATGGGCAGATGTTGTTGCTGATGGAAGAGGGTCAGGCATCACAATTGAATCATCCACAGTGCCTCCCATTAAAGCTGTATCTGGTGTGCACGTTTTCTCATTTACATATATTGGTTTTGATCTTTGCCAACATAAACTTGTCACAGCCTGATGTAAATAAACAAGATTTTTTTTAAAAAAAAAAGGAAACATAATTTAAATAAGATATATGAAGATGGGTTTACCTCAGAATTTGCATATGCACGAAGAACAGTAAAAGGTTGAGGCTTTGCACGAACATCATAAAACACAACCTGCCCAGTTGTTGTTCCAGCTGCTAAAGTATGTCCATCATCACGAAATGCCACTGAAGAAAAAGGGGATTCATAGGGTATGCAAAATGAGGGTCTTCTTGATCCTGAGTCAAAAGTGTATAGCTTTTTATCCAGTCCCACACTAGCAATCACCTGTTAAAGAAAGAACAAAACTTATAAAAGAAAGAACAATATAATTGTACAAAAATGATGATTCAGGTTGAAAGAGAGACCTTGTCATTTGAAGGTGAAAAACTAACACCAGCAGTTGGTGCAGAATGCTGCTTTAACCAAGAAACCTTTGGGTTGCGACCAGTTGTATCCCACAAATGAACAGAGCCATCATCGCCAGCTGTCACTAAAAGGTGTCTGCTAATCCGTGAATAATCAAGCACCCTCAAGACCTGAGAGCTCGAACCATCAGACAAACATCTAGCACAATCAGGAAAACAAAGGTACATGAATTACAAACACCAATAAGAACTAAGATTCTTAATGGTTTTGTGATGGATAGAAAGTTGGAGAAGTTTAGAAGATGCACCTGTCCATTAGGATCCTTGAGTTCAGTAGCCCTTGCGCCTGATGCAAGGTTGTGAATTATAAGATCACCACTAAGACTAATGGAAGCTAAATGTTCGTCTTTGCAATTGTATTTCACATCTGTTATTGTGTCTGTGTGACCTTTTAACCACTTTATACACTTTCTTCTCTGTAAATCCCATATTCTCACAGTTTGACCACTTCCACCAGAACAAATGTAACGAGATGCTTTGGAACTGAAGTTGATTGTGAAAATAGACTCCTGCAACATGAGAAATCGATTAAAAGAAGGTACAATACAAAGAAGATTACCTATTGATTGTCTTGTGAAATTTGAGAGGCAATTTAAATCATATGAAAGATATATGTCGAACAGAAGATCAGCTCACCTCAGTATTGTCAACACTGTCGCTGCCGGCCGTAGGAATAGTTCCCATGCTTTGACCATTCTTTCGCCATAACGATATCCTTTTATCATCACCAGCACTAGCCACCACCAAATCTAATCACAACCCCATCTTAAAACTTCAGGATGGTTTTTGCAATTTAGAAGCTCACAATCACGGCATTATATGAAAAACGGAAACATCGATTCTTTTATTCAAATTAAACCACCAAAAGGAGAAGAAAAGAAGAAACTTACTCGTATGATTCCACTTTACGGAGTTAACTTGAGAACCGGGTGAAGGCGTGTGGCTGAGAATACAAGGATCGCCAGGATCCATCGAGACATCGAAGAGTTTAACGGTGTCGCCGCCGCTAGCGGCCAAAAGCGACATTGCTGGATCGGCGAAGTTCATTAGTTATTAGGGCTTGATCTTGATGAGATATGAAGCAAGGTCTAATCACGTCGGAGAGTCGACTGATACGAATTATAACATCGGATCGAAGTGAATACAATCAAAATTTAAACCAAAAAGGAGTGATGCAATTAGAATTTACAAATGATGAAATGTGATGGATTGAGGGTAAAAGTGGGATGAATTTGATGTGATATATCTTCTTTTCTCGTGATGATTTTGAAACCCTAGAGAGAGAAATTTTCAAAAATAGTGTGAGGGCTCGGCGCCCTTGTAACTTTGGGAAAATGGCCCCGATCACTTTGGTCATCTAATTTGAAAAATACTCAAAATTCAAAGAGCAAGTCGACTCAAATATCAACTATGATAGTTGTATTTTTCTCTCAAGTTTGGCATATGCCTAGAGTATATTTCTCTCTAATTGGGGATGTTATGCAGGTTGGAACCGGACAAAACCGGACCCGAATAAACCAAAAACCGAATAAGAGTAATCGGAGAAAACTAAAACCGAACCACTCAAACCAATACGGGGTCGGTTTGGTTTGGATATTAATCGGTCTAGTTCGATTATTACCTGAATAAATCGAATAGTATTTACAATATGATTAAGAACCCAATAGAACCGAATAAAATAAATGCTAGTAAAAAAAAAAAAAAACTTCTATTACCCTCTATTTAGAAATATGTATCTCATTGAATATACAATCAAAAATACACGTAAACTGTGTAAATAGTAGTTTAAATTATGAACTACAAACTGGACAAAAAAAAGCGTCAAATCATACAAATAATGAAAAAGTTATGACAGTTAAACTATTTTTGAGAAAAATATGACTCTTGATGCTTTTGTCGGGGGGGGGGGGGGGGGGGGGGGGGGGGGGGGGGGAGGGGGTCAAGCGTTTCAGCAAAGTCATGTGGTTCAGAAGTTTTACACTCCGAATTTGGTGTGTCAAATGATGAATCTCAAAATAAATTTCCGGAAAATTGTGTAATGTCCGTAAATTCGAGCTAGACCATTAAGATATAATAAGTAGTAGTAATTATTATAATTAAAATCTTTGATTAGGATAATTTATAGTCATGTGTGTTGTAGACTATATAATATAAGTTTCGTAGTAAGAAAGATAGGGAAAATCAACTGAATCGTCCGTAAATCGTAAAAATAAGTACGACAATTTATATATATATATATATATATATATATATATATATATATATATATATATATATATATCTATATATATATAAAGTGCACATTGTCCCGATCCCGAAAATTATAAATTTTGTAGAAATCCGACTCTATATGATTTTTATAAAGATATAAAAGTCAATCACGCACAAAGAATGTGTGACGTTAAAAGGTACGAACAGAATGATTGACTTTTTGAATAAAGTCACCAAAATAAAAGTCGTAGTACTCTTCAAGATATGAATTTTGATAAAAAGGAACACCAAAAATCAGAGTCTGTACGAGAGAGTTATGATTTTTGCAAAATCATTCAATCATATAAAAATAAGGGCTAAAAGTAAAGTCATAATTAGTCGATGAAGCCTAAAGAAAAGTTGCAGTACTCGTCGGGAACGACGCGTGGTAAAAAAAGAACGTCAAAAACGGAGTTCGTATGAAAAAGATATGGAATTTACAAAATCTGGGATTTGCGCCCCGCGTAGTGCACGTCGGGTACGCGATGCGCGCTTCTAGAAGGTGAAAACGCGGACCACAGAGAGCCTGACACGTGGCACAAAGTTGTTGGGGGAGACGTAGCCTTAAAAATGTGCGGCATGCACCCCTTTTGCATGTTGTGCACCTCAAATTTGGCTATAAATAGAGCTTCATTCCCCATTTCATTCCTCACACTCTCCCATTTCACTTTTCTCGAGTCCCTATGACTTTTAGCCCATTTTCCCTTAGTTTTAGTCTGTGGCAAATCCCTGCGATCCGTGAAGTAGTAATAGCTAGCAAGTAGAAGCTCTGCGGGTACAATTTTTGGAATTTTGTTCAGGGAATCATAAGTTACACTCTATTTTATTCTAGTGTAATTTATATTTAAATTCATAGTCGTTGTATGAACTTATAAATAAGACTGTCAGTAATTCCAATGTCACATTACTAATTTATCTACTTACGGGGCTGATGTTTAGGTTGGATTTAGTGAGGTGTTTAAATTGAGATTTCCAAACAATATACTATGTATACCAGACGGACCCTACATACGATATGATCCTACTTAGTTGTCCCTTATCAGCTATAGATCAGTAGACATTGGGATTATCGTAAAATATATTGTAACGTCCGGTTCCCTGGTATGCATTTAATTAAGTATTTATTTATTTTGAAAGAAGGACTCGACGAGTTGGTAGCCCTGACTCGTCGAGTAGAGGGCAGTTTGTGCGCGGGGTTTAAGTGAGCTACTCGATGAGTCGCAGCCTGGACTCGACGAGTAGGACATGCTGGATGAAACCCTAATCTCTAGGGTTTGTACCCTATTTAAGCATCATATTTGGCCTCAATTCCAACCTCCATCACCCCAAACCCTGATATTGAAACCCTAATCCGCCATAAGTGACTTTGAGTTATTTCTTGCCATTTTGAGTGTTATTTGTGCCTTTTGAAGCTTGTGGAAGAAGTAGAAGATAGAAGACTCAAGAGGGAAGGAGTAGATCAAGGAACTACACTCCATTGGCTATAATTTCTTGTAATCAAGTTTCCAACTTTATCATTCTTCTCTTAGATCTACTTGTTTCCATTTTATGAAAGTTTTGGTTCAAGAACCTTGGTCCTTGGAGTTGGAACGTCCCAAGTGGCTTATATCTTAGATCTAGGATCTAGGAAAGGTTCCATGGCATAAAGGTGCAAACTTTATGACCATGGAAGCCCCATGCAAGTTTATAAGCAAGTTTATGGTCTTTTTAGCCCTAAAAGATCATGCATGGAAGGAAAGCTCGGAACTTTATGTGTCCAACAGGTGTTAAAACCCAAGATCTAGGTTTGTATGCGTGGATTTGAGATTCTATGGCCTTTTGGACAAGATCCATGCCTTATAGGAACTAGGGTTTTGTCCAAACCCTCTTAGGAGAGTTATGAACGGGTAAAGTTGGAAACTTTACCCTTAGAAAGGCCTATCCAGTGGGCAAACGAACTAAGAACCTTGGATCTAGAAGATAGGGGTTTAATCTGTTAAGATGACCAAACAGACAGAAGGACTCGTCGAGTCCATAAGGGAACTCGACGATTCGTGTCGTGTTGTCCCGATTTCAGTTAGTAGAACTCGACGAGTCTGTAGAGGGACTCGACGAGTGGATGAGCCAAGTCGCGACTAAACAACCCGATAGAACTCGACAAGTCGGTGGAGCGACTCGGCGAGTTGAATCGCGATTTCAGGATTTCTGAGTTATAGAACTCGGCGAGTTGAAAGGCTGACTCAGCGAGTTGGTCAACCCAGAATGTTGACTTTGACCAGAGTGTTGACTTTGACTAGAGCGTTGACTTTGAACAGGGGTAAAATGGTCATTTTACCCTATGAAGAGTTATCAGTTTTTGATTAAGTGTTATTATGGAATTTATAGACGGAGAGTCGTCGGAGCAACAGACAGGGATTCCTCACTCGAGCTCAGCATTCAATTTGAGAGGTGAGTCTTCTCCTATAGGAACGTGTCTAAGGCACCAATGACGGCCCGTTTATGTGTGACTGTATGTGCCGGGGTTAGCCCGATGTAGGTTTTATGTTCCAGACTTCGGTCTGATGTCGGGGCAAGCCCGAGGAAGTTAGTATGCATGATGTCTTTGTGATTCCTGCATGTGTATGATTATATGTTCCGGACTTCGGTCTGATGTCGGGGCAAGCCCGAGGAATGATAACTTGCTTGTTATGCTTATGTTTATGTTATGTTTATGATATATACCGGACTTCGGTCTAATGCCGGGCGGGGCCCGATGCAGGTGCTAGGCCCAAGTTCGGGCGGGGCCCGATGCAGTGGGCGAGGCTCAGTACGTGATTATGTGTTTAGTATGTGGTAGCTTGGGGGGACTCACTAAGCTTTGTGCTTACAGTTTTTAGTTTTGGTTTCAGGTACTTCCACTAGCAAAGGGAAGGGCTCGGGATGATCGCATGGTACACACCACATATTCAGTATGGGATTGTTGTAGACTCTGATGATTACTTATATGATTTCGATACAATATTTGACATGATGTTTTTGAGATACATGGTTCTTGTTTTTATTATGATGATGGATGTTTATGGTTTAAATAATGATTTTAGAACGAAATTTTTGGACCGTATTTTTGGGATGTTTCATATATACTATAATTACTATAGTCTCCAGGATCACGAAACTAGACTAAGGCTTAATACTCTATGCGTCTAGTTCTTTTCAAAGTATGAAGCGAAGTGCTACCAAAATCATCAGTCATCCACTTTATCAAGTGAGTGAATAGTTACTTTCATCTTACTCATAGATATGAAGTATCTAGATAATTATCTACTTTATGTCCTTATAACCTTTGCTGAAAATGTTGTGTTAGATAAAATAGTATGAGATGACATTTAAATTGATCATATAAGTATTATATACTTATAAATATGTTCAAGTGTTTCAGCAAAGTCATGTGGTTCATTAATTTTACACTCCGAATCTGGTGTGTCAAATGATGAATCTCAAAATAAATTTCCTAAAAATTGTGTAATGTCCGCAAATTCGAGCTAGACAATTAAGATATAATAAGTAGTAATTATTATAATTAAAATATTTGATTTGGATAATTTATAGTCATGTGTGTTGTAGACTATATAATATAAGTTTCGTAGTAAGAAAGATAGGGAAAATCAACTCAATCGTCAGTAAATCGTAAAAATAAGTACGACAATATATATATATATATATATATATATAATATATATATATATATATATATATATATAGAAAGTACACGTCGTCCCGATCCCGAAATTATAAATTTTGTAGAAAGCTGACTATGTGTGAATTAGATATGATTTTTATAAAGATATAAAAGTCAGTCACGCACAAAGAATGTGTGACGTTAAAAGGTACGAACAGAATGGTTGACTTTTTGGATATAGTCACCAAAATAAAAGTTGTAGTACTCTTTAAGATAGGAATTTTGGTAAAAGGAACACCAAAATCAGAGTCTGTACGAGAGAGTTATGATCTTTGCAAAATCATTAAATCATATAAAAATAAGGGCTAAAAGGAAAGTCATAATTAGCCGATGGAGCCTAAAGGAAAGTTGTAGTACTCGTCGAGGGCAACGTGTGGAAAAAAAGAATGTCAAAACCGAGTTCGTATGAAGAAGTTATGGAAATTACAAAATCTGGGATTTGCGCCCCGCGTAGTGCACGTTGGGTAC